TGTAATTTGTCCACTTATCTGTGTTGTTCTTTTGGGTATATTTACAGTTTTAGATTATTATGAATAGTCCTGCTATGAAAATTTGTATACAAGTGTTTATGTGGATGGGTGTTTTAACTTGAGTAAATGCTTACGAATAGGATTGAGGAATCATATACTTAATATATGTTTACTATTGTGAGTGACTACCAAAAATGTTTTCAACGTGGCTGTTGATTTTCACTTCAAACAGCAGTGCATAAGAGTTTGCATCACCCCCCATTCTCTCTAATACTTGATATTGTCGATTGTACTTTTAGCCTCTCAAGTGGGATTATACTTATATTTCATTCTGGCTATAATTTGCATTAAGGACTATTGATGTTGATTTTTCTTTGTGAGCTTTTTATGTACTTCCTAAATCTTAGTAGTAGTAGTTTCTGTTCAAACACATTATTTTACCCTTTATTATTATTTTTTTAATTGGATTTAGCTCTGTTGTAGGCTGGAGTGGCACAGTGGCATGATTTTATCAAAGCAGCCTCCAAATTTAGGTTTGAAGTGATCTTCCCATGCAACCTCCAGAGTAGCTGAAACTGCAGGCATGCTCCACCCTGGCTAGCTAATTTTTGAATTTTTGTAGAGAGAGGGTCTTGCTTTGTTGCACAGGCTGTTCTTGAATTCACAGCTTCTAGCTATACCCTCTGCCTTAGCTTCTCACAGTGCTGAGATTACAGGCATGAGCCACCAGGCCTGGCTACTTGACACAATTTTTAATTGGGTCTTTTGTCTTCTTGTTGAGTTTTAAGTATTTTGTATGCATTATGGACTCAAGTCCTTGGTCAAATAAATGTTTTGAATTTTTTTCCAGTCTGTGGATTGTCTTTTATTGTTAAAATACTGCAGTATCTTTCAAAGAGCAAATTTATAACTTTAATGAGATACAACGTGTCATTTCCACACATACAAAAAAAGGCCTGGTGTCATTTTGATTAGGATTGCCCTGAATTTGTAGATCAATTTGAGAACTATCAACTTGGCAGCACTGACTGTTCTGGTCCAGGGGCATGATACATGTCTCCATTTATTTACATCTTTTTTTCTCTTGGAAGCATTTAAACTTTTTATTGTGCAGATAAAATCCTGCACATGGTTTTTTTTCTGAGTTTTATATTTCATTGAATAAGATTGGGATCAATTACATACTAGGTCTTAAAATGGATGGAAAACTACAAATAGTACCTGGATTACAGAGAGAAAGGTTCTTAGTTTCTAAGATGCAACTTTAAAATGAAGTGCCTTTAGACCACTATCCTCGTATATAAACTGACTAGTTTCAGTTATGGGTTTTCCATGTTAGAGCAGGATATGCAAAGTAGATATATTTTAAGTGGTAATGGTCAGAGTGATACATGAAACAAAACACTCAGTGACTATAATTTAAAAATATCATATATGTTTATTTTTATAATGTCATTACTAATGGTAAATATTCATATTAATTTAAAATAATTTTCCAATCCAATTTTTCTGCTACCCACATACTCCCTAGCTCTTATTTATTTTGAGTGGGAAAGAGGTTAGTGGATTATTTGTCCTAGTTTTAAAAGAGAAAAAAATATAAATATGATCTCACCAGATGATTTTATTACCTATTCTAGGTTCAATAAAATAATTGAGGTGTTTTTGTTTATTTTTGTTCATAAGTGTTTTGAGTGTGATTTCTTGAAGCAATCTCCAGGATGAAGTCCAGGCTTCCTCTTGCACATCTCACAGTAGAAAATGAGCTCTCTCCTTCTCATTAGTTCTGCTGCAAATCATGCAGTCTTTTGTTGATTTTGTTCATTTTGTATTATAAAATTCACTTTGTCATTTACCCTTTCCTCAGTGTCAGAGGATAATTTTTCCCTCTTTCTTGAGTTTCTTTCCTCACATTGCTCATAATCTGAGGGATGAGATTTCTCCTGTAAGTAATATGTGCGTGCACTTTTTCTCCAGCAGAGTGAACAAATGCAAAAAGAAAAAGAAAAAAAGAAAAGTTGGACATTTTCCAACATAGGATTGGAAAGGGTTCCAAAAAGTGAAATAAAGTAACAAGTACCAATTAATGGTTCTTATTAATAATTTGTTAAGGTAACTTATTAAGACATCCTTTGGGTGAATCAATTTGTTTTGGAGCTATGTGCTTCAGCTATTAGATGGTCTATTATTAATTCACCTAATTGTTCCCAGTTTATGTATTCTCATTGCTTAGTCATCTATAAATCACGATCTTAGAAGTTATTCCTACTATCTATATACTTCCAACTACCATGAAAAAGTAGAGGGCGATGAGAAGCCTACCTCTACTGTGTACTTGAAAGTCTTTCCTCAGCTATGATTATTAATATTATTATCTATCTCTAACAGTAGTAAACTTAAAAATATGGATAAATTTTTCTTTCAATGTTAAAAACTAATGATAATTGGAAAACAGTATGAATGTTCCTCAAAAATTTAAGAATGGAACTATGGCATGATCCAGCAATCCCACCGGGTTGTACCTCAAAGAGACAACTGTACTCCCATGTTCATTTCAGCATTATTCACAATAGCTAATACTATTACCTATGAGGTAAGGAAATAACCTAAGTGTCCATTGACGGAGGAATAGATTAAAAGCATGTGATCACACAGACATACACAATAGAATATTATAATCTTGCTGTTTGTTGCAGGATAGATGAACCTGGAGTACATTGTGCTAAGTGAAATAAGCTAGACATGGAAAGAAAAATACTGCATGATGTCACTTAATAAGTGGAATCTTAAAAAGTTGAACTAGTAGAAGCAGAGAACAAAATGGTTCTTGCCCTGGGCTACCCCAGAGGTGGAAAGAAGAGATGATACAAACTTTCAGTTACAACAGGAATAAGTTCTGGAGATCTAATGTAGATCGTGGTGACTATAGTTAATTATACTGTACTATATACTTGAAAATTTCTCAGAAATTAGATATTAAGTGTCTTCACACAGCTTACCCACACACACATAGAAATGGTAACTATCTGAAATAATGGATGTGTTAATTTGCTTGTGGCAATTATTTTCACAATTTGGATTAATGTGTACATATACGTACATCATTACATTGTGCACTTAGAATGTATACAGTTTTATTGTGAATTATACCTCAATAAAGCTTGAAAAAAAATAAAAGTAAAGAAAGTTTTAAAACTAATGCTATTCAGCCAAAAGAAATGATGTAAAAGAGGAGTTCTAATGTATCTTCAATATGTCACTAACTAAGCCAACTAAAGTAAGTTAAACGTATTCTGTTTTGTTTATCTTCATGGCATCATCTTCCTACAGAAGTTATCAAATGAAATTTATTTTCAGGGTTGATGGCCAATTTCCTTGCTTTTTTTATTTTTAGAAGGTGAAAGATTGATTTGATCTGAAAAAAATCAGAATATATTGGTTTTGCTATTTAAAAGCTACCTTGCTGAGCGCCTATAATTCTAGCACTTTGGCAGCCCGAAGCTGGTGGAGTACCTGAGCTCACAACTTTAAGACCATCCTGACCCAGAGTGAGACTTCATCTCTAAAAATAGCCCAGCATTGTGACAGTCACCTGTACTCCCACCTACTTGGGAGGCTGAGACAAGAGAAGCACTTCAAAACCAGATTCTGAGGTTTCTGTGAGCTAAGATGCCACAGCACTCTAACAAAGTGAGACTCTGTCTCAATAAAAACAAAAAAATAAAAGCTACTTTGATTTATTGGCCTTATGCCCAGTGACAAATTAAGTCATGTACAACTACTTCATCTTTTATCTTACGTTCCCATTTTTCCCACAAGAGGGTGAGTTCTGTCAGACAAAAAATGTGTGATACTCATGTATGTTACCAAGAATCCCACAATCAGGGACAGAGTAGACAATAAGATTTAGCTAGTGAAGGGAATGAAGAGTAAGTTGATGAATAAATGGACAGGTAAACGAATAAATAATTTTTTTTTTTTTTGAGTCGGAGCCTCAAGCTGTCCCCCTGGGTAGAGTGCTGTGGCATCACGCTCACAGCAACCTCCAACTCCTGGGCTCAAGCGAGTCTCCTGCCTCAGCCTCCCAAGTAGCTGGGACTACAGGCGCCCGCCACAACGCCTGGCCATTTTTTGGTTGCAGCCATCATTGTTGTTTGGCGGGCCCGGGCTGGGGATTCGAACCCACCACCTTAGGTGTATGTGGCTGGCGCCTTAGCTGCTTGAGCCACAGGCGCCGAGCCACGAATAAATAATTTTAAACAGATATTTGTTCCTACTATTCAATGTAACCAAGTATATAAATCTATAGGATAAGTTACACACATAGTGTTTTTAAAAAATGTGCTTCAGCCAATTAATAGTACTATGCATTTTTACTATGTAATAAATAATGCTATTCATCACATCATATTTACCATTTGCCTTTGCTGTGACACTTTTAGCTTGATTTAAGGCCTGTTCAATAAAAAAGAATCCATTAGCCTATGCTTTTAATATCGCCCCCCTTTATGTATATTATATTGATAATCAGTTCATAACATAGCTTATCAATTGTTAGAAACATTTCAAATATTTTAAAAATAGTCTCAATATTATTCACATACACATGCCCACATACTTATAGACACACTTGTGTTGAAACCACAGTCCATAATTCCTAACAAAATACAGAATTTTTAAGGACTAACTTTTTTAATCAAAAAGTTTATTGACTATTCAAGATATTTCAGAATTAAACAATAAAAAGAACAACAAATTTGTGGCTGAGCTACTCTATGTTAAGTAAGTTGCAGAGTAAAAGTAAATCCATGGGCGGTGCCTGTGGCTCAGGGAGTAGGGCACTGGCCTCATATACTGAGGGTGGCAGGTTCAAACCCAGCCCCAGCCAAATTGCAACAACAATAACAAAAAAATATGTAAATTACAAGGAAGCAGGGAAACTGCCCTCAAATATGGACAAGACCCTCTGAAAAACATTTGCAAGGCACTTGATTACTCTGTCACATCTTCCACTCCCACCCTATTAGTCTCTTCACTGCCCCTCTTACATCTTTGTTTCGGAGAGTGTAGATTAGAGGGTTGAGACTAGGCGTGACAACAGTATAAAAGAGAGCAATGAATTTGCCTTGATCTTGAAATTTTCCTGATGGTGGCTGGAGATATATGCATATGACTGGAATGAAAAAGAGAGAGACAACCATAAGATGGGCTCCACACGTGGCAAAAACTTTCTGAAGGCCAGTGGTTGACGGCATCCTTAGTACAGTCCGGGCAATGGCACCATAAGAAGTGAGAATGAGGATGAGAGGTATGAGAACAAAAATGGAGCTCATCACCATGAGGGTCAGCTCATTAGCACGGGTATCAACACACGATAGTCGCAGCAGTGCAGGAACTTCACAGAAGAAGTGATCCACTTGGCGATGTCCACACAGGGGTACCCAGAAGGTAAAGGATGAATGAAGTGCTGAAATAGTGAAGCCGCTTACCCAAGAAGCCACAGCCAACAGGTGGCAGACACGAGGGTGCATGAGGGCAGTGTAATGCAAGGGTCTACATACAGCTGCATAACGGTCATAGGACATCACCACCAGGAGGACACACTCTGTGATTCCCAGAGCAAGGACAAAGTAAAGTTGAATCATGCAACCAGCATAAGAGATGGTTTTGTCAGGGCCCCAGAGGTTGACCAGCAATTGAGGGATAGAGCTGGTGGTGTAGCAGAGGTCCAGAAAAGAGAGGTTTGAGAGGAAGAAGTACATGGGAGTGTGGAGATGGGAGTCCACGTATGACAGGATGATGATGAACAGGTTGCCTATCAGCGTCATCAAGTAGAATATCAAGATCGCCACAAAGAGAACTACTTCCAGATGAGGCCAATCAGAAAAACCCAGTAGAAAAAAAAAGTCTTCAGAACTTGCATTATTTTTCATCATTTTTTCTGCTGTACTTGAAGAATCAATTACATAAACTCAAAGGCTTCCCATGCATTGTCAAACATTTGCAAACAGATTCAGGGAAAATGTGTTCCACTTATGCCACAAGGCAGTAGAATTTTTAGTTTTCTTTTTATGTTTCCTTCAGATATTTGCCCTGTTACAGATACAATCAATAACTTCTCAAGTGATTGACCTCTTTTTATACATTCCTATGTTAGCTTTGGATAAACAAAAACTAAGATATTTCATAACCAGAAAGGCAATTTTCATTTAAAATACTTTTTTTTATAAAAAACCTTAAATTTATTCCTTTTTTCCTGCATTTTCAGGCTATTTTCAATTTTGCAGTAACAGAGAAAGAAATAAACTGCAATCTTAATCCTACATAATCTTACAGTGGTGTAGATAAGTTTCCCACATAATAAAAAGCAATACAGTAGTAATTTTATTTTTCATTTTTATGTAGGTATGTATATATTTTGATTTTTTAGAGGCAGTGTCTCACTCTGTCTTCCAGCCTCAGAGTGGTGCAATTATAGTTCACTGCAGCCTCAAACCCCTGTCAAGCAATCCTCTCATCTCGGCCTGTTAAAGTCCTGGGATTACAGGTGTAGGCCACCATGCCTGGCCAGTAGTAACTTAAATGTTAATATCAGCCAAAAATATTACTTGAATATGATTATAGAAAGAATAAAATGTTAGTTTATGTGTGCTAGTAGCTTATTTCTAGATAAAAATAACATGCAAATGTAAGTATAAATAACACATGAACATGCACACACCCCCAACTCATAATACTCACAAAATGAATAAGGCTGATTAGCAAAGAAATAAAGTAGATTAGAGAAATCAGTGATGAAATGTTTTCAAAAGTAAGTGAGAATATATTGGAAGACAAAAAAAAGAATTAGAGAATCTAAGAAAAATGTAGGAAGGGGAAAAATCTATGAGGGTATTTGAATGAAGAAAAGAGGAAAGGAACTCTAATTGTGATACTTGAAATTGAAAAAATATATATCACAGGGCTCTAAGAACTGGAAAACTGGGATTTTTGAACATAGTTTCTACAAACGTCATATGATTTAAGATAATAACATATAGAATTTAAATTCTGAGTCATAGTTTATAACTTACATGTTTTTAGTTTTCTATAATTTATAATGGAGCTTCTGAATAAACATTAATATTAATAGATAATTAAAGATATGGGAACGTTGTATAAACTCCAATGACAAATTTGTCTTGTAGTCATGCTTTTGTTAAAAATAAACTCTGGCTCGGCACCCATAGCACATTGGTTACGGCACCAGCCACACACACTGAGGGTGGTGGGTTTGAACCTGGCCCAACCCAGCTAAACAACAATAATGACTGCAACCAAAAATAGCCAGGTGTTGTGGCAGGCACCTGTAGTCCCAGCTACTTGGGAGGCTGAGGCAAGAAAATCACTTAAGCCCAAGAATTTGAGGTTGCTGTGAGCTGTGTCACCATGGCACTCTACCAAGGGCAACATAGTGAGACTGTCTCAAAATAAATAAATAAATAAGAAATTGAAATTTGCACAGATAGTTTGATTTTCAATTACCTATTTTCTCTTGTGCATTATAAATCTTTCACGGGAAAGATATATGATGCAGTTTTTCGTATGATCCAGTTTTTGCTATGAGACATAAAAACTCACTCATTCAAACATTCCTAAATTGCTTTGCTGTGCCCCTTCTGCTCTTTTCCTGCCACAGCCAACGCTCCCTCTCATACTCTTGATAGAATAAGGCAAAAGACAAATTCAACCACAACAGACTCACCTTCAGTCTATTGAAGAACATTTAAAGGCTGAAATACTATGATATGTACCCTTGAAAAAGGTGTAAGGAGTGTCTAATTAGTTGAATTACAGCTAGAGATCTAGGAACACTGATCTTGGGCCAAACCAGTGAGACTGATTCAGGCAGGAATAAACACCTCTGCATATTCTTGGTAATATAAATGATCATTAACCTTTTGAGAGGTAATGGAAAAATTCCAAGGAATTTTTTTTAATTTCCCTAAAATGAGAAGTAATACAAGCACATATCCATGAGATACTTGAACTTAAGTACTATGGATGCTTTCTGTGATGCAGACATTATTTTCTTCCCATAATGCAGCTGCCTGAATTCCTTATTACATTAATTTAAAGAAAGTGGAAGATGTCATATTTCTTTTATTTGTTGTATGACCAGTCTTTCAGCATTCTTCTAAAGATGAAAAGAGGGATCAGAGATATAGGACTAAAAAAATAGGGAACTAATTAGAAAAAAAATTGGAGTTTTGATCTTCTACTTGGTGGAAAAGAACAAAATGGGGACCCTATCAAATGTAGCTTTTATGAGCCATGGAATAGAATATTTTCTCTCTTCTTTTAAATCAAACACTATGGGGAAAATGGACAGCTTAGCACTCTCTTCTTGTCCCATTATTACTAGCAGAGATTTTTCTAATTTTTTTCATATTCATTCCTTTTTAATATATTTGGTTTTTTACTTTAACTTTTAATTGTTGAATAATAATTGTATATATGTATAGGGTACAATGGAATGTTTTGATACACATATACATTGCGGAATCATTACATTAAGCTAATTAACACATTCATCACCTCACAGATCTTTTTTTGTAGTAAAAACATTTACGAACTACTCTTTTAGCAATTTTGAAATATAGAAGCTCTCTATCTAGTTCTTAAGCTGTGCTCTATCAACTTTCTTCAGTACTGACCTTCTTGGGTTTGTCCATGTTTCCTGTTGTTCTCTTCCTGGTCTATGACCTGATGTATAAACTGATGTGAGGCTCTCTGATTGTCATGCAACCTTGAAACATCAACCTAATTGTCTCCTTAGACTGTTTTTACCAATGTACTAAATATAACTGTGGAGAACAGAATCTGAAAATAACTGTGCACATCATTGCTACAGAAGAAAGAGCCTGAGTTTGTACAGGAGAGCTACCTTTTAACAAAATGCAGAACACTTCAGGGCATTCAAGGTATCCAGGGATGGACCCCTTATCCCAAAGCAAATGGAAACTTTATGAAAACACAAAGAATAATGGGATTTTCTTTCCTTGGCTGGCACTCTCGGGAGGATAACTCCCAAAGTTGCAATTAATGCCCCTCAAGGAGTTGTCCATGGTGTGATGTTCACAACACAAAATGCTTCACAGAAATACTCCAGCATGATTGTAGTCTTAATGAGCTGAAAATGAATTTATCTGGTGAATTTATCTTTTCCAACACAGAAATGGCACTGTGAGATATTTACAGTAAAGGGAATGGATTCTACTGACTCATGTGATTTTTACCCCAGTTTCTCATGGGGCTAAGGCCAAATTTACAAAGCAATGGGTCAAAAGTAGGAGAGGTTTGAGACCCAGTCAACAGAAAAACTGAAATAAAGACTAAAACATGTCTTTTCCTTATCAACAGGGTCCTCTTTGAAAGGTGCTTTAGATATTCTATACCTTTTATGCTTTCTTTTTTTTTAATTTCATATTAATATGAGGATCCGATTAGGTTACAGTGTTTGCATTTGTTAGGTAAGATCCCCGTTGTAGTTGTGTCCTGCCCCCAGCAGGCCTGCCATATACCCTTATATCATGCCCTTTAGGTAGAAGCACACCAATCTCCCTTCCCCCTCCCCCTCAACGTTAATTAAATCAAGTTTTTCTCTTGTGTGAGCATGCATTACTTCATCTACTGGCTTCAAATTAGTATTGAGTACATTGGATACTTGCTTTTCCATTTTTGTGATACTTTACTAAAGAGAATGTTCTCCAACTCTATCCAGATTAATACAAAAGATGTAAAGTCTCCATTTTATGGTCTACCAGTATTCCATGCTATACATAAACCACAGTTTATTATTAATCCATTCATGGGTTGATAGGCACTTGGGTTGTTTTCCACATCTTGGCAATTGTAAATTGAGCTGTGATAAATAATCTAGTCTCAATGTCCTTATGATAAAATAATTTTTTTTTCTTCTGGATAGGTACCTAGCAATGGAACTGCAGGATCAAATGGAAGGGTTATATTTAATTTTTTGAGGATTCTCCATACTTCTTTCCAAGGAGGCTGTATTAGTTTGCAATCCCACCAACAGTATTTATGCTTTCTTGTCTTTCAAATTCAGTTCCAATTTTATCTCTACAAAGGTTTAGAAAATCATTCCATCTTTTTATTATTTCATTTTTAATTGTAACAGAATAATTGTATGTATTTATGGGATACAATGTAATTTTTGCTATATGGATACAATAGGGAATGATTAAGTCAAGCTAATTAACACCATCACTTCACATACTTATTTTTCTTGGGTCAAAAACTTTTAAAATCTACTTGTTTAGAATTTTTAAGTTTTTAGGTATATTTCAAATATACAGAATAAAAAATGGTGTCCTCTCATTTGTGAGACGCCAACAAGATTTTCCTCATACTGTCTCAAAATTTAAAGGTCACTTTCCCCAGAGGGTGTGCAATGAATCATAAAATGGCCTTTTTTGAGGGTAGGAGAGGAAGGCTTGGGTAGGATACCATATTAAATTATACCATGATAGACATGCAAGACTGTTATGCAATCTAGACATTTTATATACATTTTGATGACTTAGAAAAACAAAGCAATCATTTATGACAAGCCTAAAAAGTTTGATATATTTAACATACTTAAGATTTGTTTTGTGTGGTGGGAATTCTCTAACTGTATCATGTGGGCCTTTTGAGAAGTAACAAATAGAAGACCAGTTTCTGTTAAGTTTGCTGCTGAACATTTCATTCCACCCTAATAAAATACAACCAGGACTGAATAGAGGGGGGATACCTTACTTTAAAACACAAAGGAAAAGTATGTCAGTGCAAAATATGGACTAAACTGCTTTCAGGAAAAAATGGTTTTAAAACTGATACAGGTTGGAAAGGGAATTTTCCTTCGTTGTTTGGAGTACTCCTAACTTAAGGCAGA